ATAATGTACATCTCTGGTATCATACCCCAGGGTGTCAGCAGCATAATGAAGTGGCCTGTTAACAATACATTAACAGCTATTGAGAGGAGACTTTCCAGCAGGGAAGCATGTGAAACAAAGAGCATTCTCCTCCAGATGAAGAGGGGTTTGTTACCCTGGGCTGCAGCCTGGCAGTGAACTTCCGTCTGAACTGTATATGACTTCTTCAGGTAGTGAGAGACCTCTCTGACAGCTGCGCTTCAGTTCCCAAGAAGGATGAGCTCTGCCAATAGTTGGGCTCACAGTCTGGAGGCTGCCACGGAGACAGCTGGCACTGATCGCTTCCTTGTCTCTTTGATGCAACAGGCGTCTCGGACATCAGGGTGAAGTGGTATTTATGGATCTCAGCTGCTTCAGGCGATTTTTGGCTCCTCTAAAGGATAAATTGCTCTTTTGAAACTCAAGATTTGGGTGAATTCCCAGATAGCGCCCAGAGCGAAGAATGAGGATTATCAAAGCTCTCCTTTTACAGATAAGGTGGTTTAGTTCAACACCCCCCTCTTCTCTGAGAAGAAAATTCGAAGAAGTCTTGTAAGCTAGACAAGACTGAATAAAAGCTCTGTTTTTCAGTCAGTACAGCTGTGGAGGTTGAGAGACTTTTTTATGAAAAAGACAAAAAAAGTGTCAAGTCCTTTAACACAGTTCAGTAGTCTTGCTTCCCTGCGGAGTAAAAAGGGAGCAAGTAGTAGCTTTGTCTCCCTGTTGCCTACCAAGAGACAACTGCAGGCTTGTACAGCCATAAGATATCTAAAAGGCATTAAAATAGTATTTATTAAAGAAGCATTCTTCTCCCAGGTCTTGCCATGTTTCAAAATCAGTTTTGATTGAGAGATACAATGGCAGAGGGTGAAGGTGCATGGAATTACTCATTCTTTCGGAAAATTGTCGTATTCTTTCCTTCCTTTCAAGGGTAAAGAGCTTGCAGAAGTCTCCAGAGGTTTCTCAATGTCATCTAAATAATGCTTTTTTTTTTTTTTTAAATCCCTCAAAAAAGAGTGCTGGAAACAGGTTAACAAACCTCAACATTTGGAAGTGCCCATGATCTGTTCTTTCCCAAATCCAAATGGCAACTGGAAATGCAGGTCCAGCCATGCTTCTGGAATAGGCATTTCTAGACTTTATAAGTCCCCTCCTGAAAACAGTAGTAATGAACAGTTTTTCCTGATGATTAATTTAACCAGCTGTTTGAATGTGGCAACGGAGATCTATTTGAGCATTTGTGAATCAGCTGTGTAATAACACTTCATTTCTGATAAATTCTGTGCACTTTTGTTTTCCAAATAAGTTATCTCAGACTTTAGAGACAAAGGAAAGTGCTCCGTTATCAAACTTGCCTTTTACTGTTGAAATGCACTTGTTTCTTAACTTCTTATTTCAGTTCCTTCTTTTTCCTCCTTTCCTCCTTTCCTCTGGGGAATTTTGCCATCAGCTCAAAATATCACTGCCAGTGCTGTGACTGGAACTGCCATAACACTCTGCCACATTCACAGCCTTCTTTTATTGGAAATGTCTCTGTCTGAAAACCATTTTTCTTGTCTTGATGAGTAAGCACTGTCTAATGTGGAAAAAAATAAGTGTAAAAAAGTGTGTACCAGCTAGGTAATTCAAAACATGGTGACGGGTTCAGTTACTGATAAGAGTAATGATTTTGGTGGCATAAATGTGTCAAAATACATAGAATTAGCAATCTTAAAATGCAGTGTTGCTAAAAACCTCCAAATCAATGAAAGTATGGAGAAATATTGTAGTTTTCTGCTTTCCTGGAGTAACTGGAATGACTTTGAAATTGATACTGAGTTCTTTTTCATTTTGTTTAATTTCAGTAAAATATGAAAGAATCAAGTTCTTGGTAATTGCATTGAAGAGTTCTGTGGAAGTCTATGCATGGGCACCAAAGCCATACCATAAATTTATGGCCTTTAAGGTAACAGTATATTTCAGCCATATGTAGGATTTTCTCATAGCTGCTTGCAGTTACCCCTTTTACGAAAATATTCTGACATTTTATCATGGCCATACTAGAAGTTCTTTTGTAAATCTGCCATGAACTTGGTATTATATTTTAATTTAGGAATTTTTTTTAGCTCTAAGAGTCAGTACACTTGAAGTTCTAATTTGTAACTGAGCATAAACTAATAATGAAAATGACACAATATCCCGTTTGTTTCATCTCTCTATAAATAAAACATGAAGCAGAGAGAAGTGAACTGAGTCCAAACATCTTCATCTGAGCAGAAAAAGTCATTAAGTAATACGCAGAATTGTTATTTTTTTGAATGCTGCAACAATGAAGTTAACTGGTATAATTAGTAGGCTGATTTACAGATGATCAGTTTGGTTACGCAGATCGAAGTAAACACTACAAGAGTGTCAAATTGCCTTGAACTTTGGAGAAAAGAATTTTTACTGAAAAACAAACAGACCAACTAAAGTAAATAAGCTCACAATAAGAAAGAATAATAAATAAGAAAATAGCTTACAATATTATGTGACTGAAATGCAACAAGTTGCAGAGTAATCTGTCCTTGTCCGTGAGAGACGTGTTAGCCTGACTGGTTTGGTGGATGGGGGCCAGAGGGATGTGGGAGGAGTAAACCCATAATATGTGCATTAGAGCATGTTTTTATAAAACCCACTGTGGTTGTAAGCAGTAAAGTAAATCTCACTGATGGTTGTCTTACAGTCATTTGGAGAATTGGTACATAAGCCATTGCTGGTGGATCTAACCGTAGAAGAGGGTCAGAGACTAAAAGTGATCTATGGCTCCTGTGCTGGCTTCCATGCTGTTGATGTGGATTCAGGATCGGTCTATGATATTTATCTACCAACACATGTAAGAGCTGCTACTGGGGTTGGGTTTTTTCTTTCTTTCTGGTTTTGTGCCCCCTCTTCCTTTCCTCTGATGACTAGCATGTCAGGCTGTCCCTGTGGATCACTGCCAGATGCTGGCAGCAGTAAATTGGGTGGAGAGTTCCAAACAGATGTGGCTACCTGTGCTTAAGGGTTTGTGCCTCACTCTCTGTCCTCTCTTCATGGTCAGTGTGTCTCCATGGTTGCGAGATGCCCACTCAGGCCTGGCATGGGCCAGTGTGACTGTTTCAGGGGTAGCAGCTAAATGGTTGAGTGCATTGCAAGTGCCCAGCAGAGGCTGCAGAGAAGGTGGTAGCACAAACGACACAACAGCCCACTGATGAGATTCAACAAGGTTGGCAAAGGCTGGGTGGCCTCGCCTACCAAGGCTTCCTGTTGTTCCTTGTACACAGAGGTGTTGGATGGCCTTGCAGTGTGTGATGCATCTCCCCAAGAAATGTTCACTACAGTGCAGAGGTCTGAGGTCTGCATCTGGTCTGCTTGCCCCGGGCTCCCTTTCTGCCTGTGGACAGAAACAAGCACTCCTACAGAGAAGTTCATCTTTTCTGTTTTTAGATGTCTGCCTTAAGATGAGAGGATTAGTGGCCCAAGGGTTTCCAGGTCTTTGTTGTCACTGTGTAGGGTATCTAGCTCAGGAGGAGCAGAGCTAGCACTTCTGAAGTGAGCGAATTCCCAATCTGTTGTCAGCCAAAATCAAAAATCACACAGCCCTCTCTCCCAGCCCAGGCTCTGCGGCATTAAAACAAAAGGCTTCCTCTTCTCTTCTGTCTTTGTAGATCCAGAGCAGTATCCAACCTCATGCAATCATCATTCTCCCAAACACGGATGGGATGGAGCTACTGGTCTGCTACGAGGATGAAGGAGTTTACGTCAACACATATGGAAGGATAACCAAGGACGTGGTTCTGCAGTGGGGAGAAATGCCAACTTCAGTTGGTAAGTGCCTCTGGCAAATCATATACAACATGCCGTTAGGGAGCATGAGCGTGTGCACGCGGGCAGAAGGAAGGTGCATCAGGTTTGACTTCAGATTCAGAAGCAGTGATGCTGTAGTATTCCTGGAAAACAGCTGTGCAAAGTGGAGCGTAATAATCATACGGATCTATTTTGTGCTGAGTTTTTAAGAACAAAATCCAAACAAGCAAGCTGTGGAGTTTGGGAATGAAAAACTCACCAGGGCCTCTCTAGGCTGCAGAATTTTTGCTAGATGGCCACAAAAGTTGTGGAAACCTTTGGCTATAAAGACATGTAAGATGGCAGATGGGTAAGATATTATTATGGGTATTTCCATATAGATAACAGTCTGTATATCTAATTTGATGTGTTCACTTTAATTCGCCTGCAGATTGCTCATCTATCCTAGCACCATGATTCTCCCACATCTCTCCAGTTCAGAATAAGGTAGCTTCGAGAGTGGGGGCAGTAAGTGTAGTAAAATGGGCACAGGTTTGTTACAGGCACAAGTACACACCAAGATTCCTCTTACTGCCTGAGCTGCCATATTTCAGTGCTGAGCATAGCATGGCCTGTCATCACACCTTCATTTTGTTGGGCAAACATGTTGAGTTTTACGTGCTTTGGAATGGATACATGTATTGGGAGATGACTGCTGATAGTGGTTCGAACAATAATGGAGGAGGAAATTTAAAGAAGTTTCATACACAGCATGTTCACTCCTGTGGTGATTAACTCTTGACTAGATCTAAAAGAAAGCAGAATTTATCAGCTGACAAATTGTAGAGCCTTTGGGGACTGGAGTGCCTGTGAAGTAAATGGCACTGAGGCAGCTGACACCATCTGAACATCTCATCTGACAATTTTTAGAAGCTACTTGGCCCAGTTACCACTAGTGACATATTTAAAAATAAATAAATTTCCAGCATTATGGTATATGTGAGGTCATAGATGAACATTATACTGTAGTAGATAGTTTGATTTAATGTCATTGATAATTAATATGAGAAAAATTCTATAAAAGGGAAGTACTGCACAATTACGTATTTTTTAATTGTGCTTGCTAAGAGCTATTCTTTTTATTTTTCTGTTAAGTATGCATGCAAATCAGAGTCAACAGCTTATTCTTCATTAAGTTCCCATATGTTATTTTTGGCAGCATTCCTCAGACTGTCCATCAAATTGCTTTTTGAATGTACCTTTTCATAACGCTGCTGACTTTCTCCTGCGTTTGATTTTTTTACCACTATCAAGGACAGATTTTCTTCCTCATGCTGCTACTAATCAGTTTCCCCCAGTGACACTCTGAAGGAAAAACGCTTGATTTTTTGCTTTATTTGTGCACAAAGGAAAGCAGTATGACAAATAATAGTATTTCTACTTGGAGAAACATGAACCTTTAAGATACGCACAGTACTTTTCAGGCCGATTGGCTTTCTCGAGAAGGAGAAGAGGTTTTCCAAGTATTACTCCTATTAAAGGAGGCTAGCTATTTTTTTTCTAATTTTCCCATTCCCTCTCCCCTTTCTCTGTTTTTGCTGACAGACTCCTTCAAGGAGGAAAAATAACACTGTAAGACACAGTACTGGTGCTGTAGACATACTAGAGTGGATGGGTTTAGTCTAATTAAACCTTGGGTTCTACTTTCTCATTGTCAACACCTAATTAGCCTGTCTCTTTGCCAAACTTGTGAGAAAAAGCCTGTGTAAAAAACTCAATGTTCCTTCCATTTAGTTGAAGGTTGGAAGGTTCCCACTGCGTCATGAATGCTCAGGCAAGACGGATGTTAGTAGCGTGGAAAACCCACGGGGAAATTAAAAAAAAAAGAAGGTATTTTTAGACATCATGAAGACATCGAAGACAGAAAAAGCACTCTGAACATGTGTGTAGTTATAATTATGTACAGGTCATTTTTAACTGGAGTGCATCAGTATATTCCTCTGCTTTTTTCAGTTCCTCCAGTTGCCTTGTACTGTCCTAATGGGTGTTTTCTTTCCAAAGCGTACATCCGATCCAACCAGATTATGGGCTGGGGAGAAAAAGCTATTGAAATACGATCGGTGGAAACTGGACACTTGGACGGTGTGTTCATGCACAAAAGGGCACAAAGACTCAAGTTCTTATGTGAACGCAATGACAAGGTATAATTCCTCCCCTTCCCAGTTTGTTGCCAAGATGATAAACTTTAACTGGATGTTTGGAGTGGGTTGACCCCAGCCAGCAGCCAAACACCCACCCAGCCTCTCACTCACTCCCCTCTCCTGTGAGATGGGAACAAGAAAGAAGGAAGGCAAAAAGACTCATGGATCAAGATAAAGACAGTTTAATGAGGGCAGCAAAAGCTGCACACGCAAGCCAGGCAAAATAAGGAATTCATTCACAACTTCCTATCACCAGATATCTACTTCCCAGGAAGCAGGGCTTCAGCGTGTGGAATGCTGTTTGGGAAAACAAAGGCCTTTTCCATTCCCTGAGCTTTTATTGCTGAGCATGACGTTACATGTTATGGGATCCCCTTTTGGTTAGTTTGGGTCTGCTGTCCGGGCGTTGTCTCCTCCCAGCCTCTTGCCCATCCCCAGCCCGCTGGCCATTGGGGGTTGAGAGGACTGGAGAAACAGCCTTGATGCTGTGCAAGTGTTGTTCAGCGGCAGCCAAAACACTGGTGTGTTATCAATGTTGTTTTAGGCAGAAATGCAAAGCCCGGCTCCATATGGGCCGCTGTGAAGAAAGTCAACTCCAACCCTGCCATTCCCAGCACAGCACTGCAATTGCACTCTAAATATCAGGGGCAATGCAGGCAAATTGAAGCCGCTGCAGTCTCACCTGTTGAATTTGTCAATCTCTTTCCTTCACAGGTTTTCTTTGCCTCCGTACGGTCGGGCGGAAGCAGTCAAGTCTATTTCATGACCCTTGGCAGGACTTCTCTTCTGAGCTGGTAGAAGCAGTGGGATTTGGCGAGGAATTGCTGACATCCAGAGTCTGAGATCTTCATAACTCGGAATTATTTTCAACTGGAGTACAGACCTGCACTAATGCAGCACTCTGTGTAAATGTGTGTGCAGGCATCACTGGTGTTAGGTTTCTTTTTGTTTTTCAACTGAGGCTGCGACGCAGCTGGTGCTGTAAAGATATTGCCATCAGGTGCTACGATGTCTTTGAGATTTGGGATCATGCTAGAAAGCTACAGGTCGTCTTTTCCCTTCAGCTCCAGGATTCCTAGGCTTCGAAGGACTCTGTTTGTTAGTGTTAAAGCAGAGAGGGGGGAAAAAGGAAAAAACAAACCAGACTTACCATGAACATGCTGTTGAGTGGATGGGGGGCAGGCAAGAGAAGGTGAGAAGTGGTGCAGAGAGTCAGACTGGCTGAAACAGAGGGCAGATCTAGTTTAGTAATGTTAACAATGTATTTAATTGACATTTCTTTTTTGTAATGTGACAATATGTGGACAAAGAGGAAGGTGCAGGTTTTAAGAAGTTAATATTTATAAAATGTGAAAGACACAGTGACTAGGATAACTTCTTCTTGGGGACAGGGAGGGTGGGAAGGGGCTCGGGGTGGAATTCTTGGGGTTTTTTGTTTCTGCAGTTTTATTTTGGCCTGGCCAATAACTTTAGTCATTTTCTGTGTACCAGGTATTGCCTGAAACATGTGCAGATGATAAAAAACAAACAAACAAAAAAAAAAAAACACAAAAAAAAAAGGGAAAAAAAAAGAAAAAAATTCATTTTCTATAATGATTCTGTGTTAGGCCAGAACTTGGTTATGTCACAGTATTAGCACTGCCTCAGTTAAAGGTTTAATTTTTGTTTAAACCTAGAAGTGCAACAACAGTTTTACCACAGTCTGCACTTGCAGAACTAAAAAAAAAAAAAAAAAAAGAGAAATAAAATCCAAACTACATATGTTTATTTTTTGTGCCTACCTCATTGTTTTTAATGCATAAAATAAAAGAGGTGGTTTAGTTTATACGTTTTTAGATGAAAACCATTAATGTCTAATTTAATCTTAATACCAAAACTACCAGATTGGAAGGTTTCTGACTGTTATTGCATAGCAAGTTT